TAGAGAAAATAATTGTCTGAGTTCCTTGTTCAGTCAGACACAAGCAGATACACTCCCACGAATTCTTTCTGCCTTGGATAGTCAACTTGCAGATTGCAGCTCAGGGTTAGACATTCAACAAGATCATAAATATGCTGTGATGTTAGAATCAGAACAACCAATCAGAAGTTGCTTACGTGTTGTTTTTACCAGTTTGATTATAAAAACATTGTTAAGTGCGCCACAAAGGGTGAATAGTTTTTTGTTCTTGACCGGGTATGGTCAAAAGCTATTCATCTAATGTTGATCAACTTGAAATAAAGCCTTGTTGGAAGACCTCATCGGATCTCATCTCCTGGCTGCCTTCTGGGCCTGTCACCCTAAATTCCCAGTCTCTAACAATACGATTGAGTTATATAGATAAAGAAGCTAATTGAGATAGATAGAATAGCAATTGAGTGATTGAGCAATTGAGTTATAGATATCAATTGAGATATAGAAAAGTTATTGAATATTATTGAGCTTTACTTCATCTCCAAAGCTAACCTTGAGCTATAGATACGGAAAAACCTGTTTTTTTCTAACCATAGCAGCTGAGGGATAGGGTGAAAGGATGCCATGATATTTTCTACCATTTGGGGAAGAGTTACCTCAGTAACTGAAGGAAAAAGAAAGAAAGATCATCTCTATGGTTTACCAAATTGACTGTTTGTGTTGTAACTTCTTCAAGCTGTGCCAAGTCGGCTAAGGACTTTAGAAATAAATATTCTGTTTGATGTTCCAAACCTGAAGTGGCCTCAGTTGCTGAGAAATTTTGAGCTTCTAAAGAAAGACCCCCGCAGTCCACCCAGACAAAGAGAGAGCACATCTTAGTTTTAATGTTATAGGGTCTGGGTGTGACGGCACAGGTTACCATGTCTGAATTCCCTTCTCATTATTTATAATATCTATGCATATCAAATGGGTTGTTTCAAGTGGGAAAGAATTGATGCCCAAACAGTCAAACTCTGTCAATACAGCAGCATCGTGTGAAAAGTTCCCCAGAAGGTAAAGCAGTCAACTGAATATCTCAAAAAGAAACCGCCCCAATGTGATTGACACAGCCCGACCTCTTATTCAGGAACTACTGCCCTACAGCGTACAATGCAAACTTGTCAAATTTTGCTAGGCAATGTTTACATATACAGACACCCAAAATTCTTCTGTCTTCATTAGAATGTATTGTGGTTGCAACCTCACCCGCCTCATAGGAAACATGCTACAAAACAGGAGCTTTTTTGTTGACTTCCAGGGCCAGAAAAGCAGATGGAGGAAACAGAAGCTTGCTCCATCCATGTTCAACATCTACACAAATGACCAGCCTCTGCCAGAAGGGACAGAGAGTTTCATCTATGCTGATGATCGTGCCATCACCGCTCAAGCAGGGAGCTTTGAGATGGTTGAACCGAAGCTCTCCGAAGCTCTAGGTGCCCTTATTGCCTATTACAGGGAAAACCAGCTGATCCCTAATCCATCTAAAACACAGACATGTGCTTTCATCTCAAGAACGGACAAGCATCCCGAGCTCTGAGGATCACCTGGGAAGGAATCCCACTGGAGCATTGCAGCGCACCCAAGTACCTGGGAGTCACTCTGAACCATGCCCTTACCTACAAGAAGCACTGCCTGAATATCAAGCAAAAGTGGGTGCTAGAAACAATATCATACGAAAGCTGACTGGCACAACCTGGGGATCACAACCAGACACAGTGAAGACATCTGCCCTTGCGCTTGGCTACTCTGCTGCTGAGTATGCATGCCCAGTGTGGAACACATCTCACCACGCTACTAAAACAGTGGATGTGGCTCTTAATGAGACATGCCACATTATCACGGGGTGTCTGCGCCCTACACCACTGGAGAAATTACACTGCTTAGCCGGTATTGCACCACCTGACATCCGCCAGGAAGTAGCAGCCAATAGTGAAAGGACCAAGGCAGAGACATCTCCAGCTCATCCCCTGTTTGGGTATCAGCCAGCACGTCAATGACTTAAATCAAGAAATAGTTTTCTAAGATCTACGGAGACACTCGCTGGAACACCCCAGCAAGCGAGAGTCCAAAAGTGGCAGGCTCAAACCCAGAACCTCAAGCAAATGAGAGACTCCCCCCCTGGGTACACAGAAGACTGGGCGACTTGGAAGGAGCTGAACAGACTGCGCTCTGGCACCACGAGATGCAGAGCCAACCTTAAGAAATGGGGCTACAAAGTGGAATCCACGACATGCGAGTGTGGAGAGGAGCAAACCACTGACCACCTGCTGCAATGCACCCTGAGCCCTGCCACATGCACAATGGAGGACCTCCTTGCGGCAACACCAGAGGCACTCCAAGTGGCCAGATACTGGTCAAAGGACATTTAATCAACTACCAAGCTTGCAAACTCTGTTTTGTCTGTTTGTTAAAAAATTGTTAAAAATATAATACAATTGTCTGGTTGCTACTGACACGATAAAATAAATAAATTGTGGTTGCACAACAGATTGAAAGAAAGAGAACGCATAGAGAAGAATAATTTGATAACAATGGCAGCAACACCAAGAACAATGTTTTGGAGGCAGATTTTGGTCATGGGCCATTCATAGCACACATTTTGCTGCCTCAAACGTTAGACCTGCATCTGCATATATTTGACCTGCTGATTCCAAAAATACCACCAGTTTCCTCTTATCAGTCCTAGCTTTTGAGATACTGAACGTACACCATCTTCATTTGCTCGCCCATAGAAAACCGTGATAACCATGAAACTAGAGCTGATGGGAGCGATCCAACGCAATTTTCCAAATCAGTGCCCCAAATAACCTCAGGAACAGGCCTAAAAACCAAGAAAATACTGTCTATACTCGAGTATAAGCCTAGTTTTTCGGCCCCTTTTTTAGGCTGAAAAAGCTCCCCTCAGCTTATACTCGAGTCAAGGTTATTTATTATTTTACTCTGTTATTAGTATTATTTTTATTTCATGTATTATTTTACTCTCTTTATTATTATTACATTTACAGTATTTTACCCTATTATTATTACATTTATTATTTTACACTATTTATGATTATTATTACATTTATTTTATTTTATTATTGTTGCATTTATTATTTCACTCTATTATTACATTTATTATTCTACTCTATTATTACTGTTATTATTGCATTTCCATTATTTTACTACTTTATTATTATTATATTTATTATTTTACTCTCTTTATTATTATTACATTTACAGTATTTTACCCCATTATTATTATTACATTTATTATTTTACACTGTTTATGATTATTATTAGATGTATTATTTTACTTTATTATTGTTGCATTTATTATTTTACTCTATTATTACTGTTATTATTGCATTTCCATTATTTTACTACTTTATTATTGTTATATTTATTATTTTACTCTCTTTATTATTATTACATTTACAGTATTTTACCCCATTATTATTATTACATTTATTATTTTACACTGTTTATGATTATTATTAGATGTATTATTTTACTTTTTTATTGTTGCATTTATTATTTTACTCTATTATTACTGTTATTATTGCATTTCCATTATTTTACTACTTTATTATTATTAATTATTTTACTCTCATTATTATTATTACATTGACAGTATTTTACCCTATTATTATTATTATTATTGTTATTATTACATTTATTATTTTACACTGTTTATGACGATTATTACATGTATTATTTTATTTTATTATTGTTGCATTTATTATTTCACTCTATTATTACATTTATTATTCTACTCTATTATTATTGCATTTCCATTATTTTACTTTATTATTATATTTATTATTTTACTCTCTTTATTATTATATTTACAGTATTTACCCTATTATTATTATTACATTTATTATTTTAAATTGTTTATTATGATTATTATTACACGTATTATTTTACTTTATTATTATTGCATTTATTATTTCACTCTATTATTACATTTATTATTCTACTCTATTATTATTGCATTTCCATTATTTTACTTTATTATTATATTTATTATTTTACTCTCTTTATTATTATATTTACAGTATTTACCCTATTATTATTATTACATTTATTATTTTAAATTGTTTATTATGATTATTATTACACGTATTATTTTACTTTATTATTATTGCATTTATTATTTCACTCTATTATTACATTTATTATTCTACTCTATTATTATTGCATTTCCATTATTTTACTTTATTATTATATTTATTATTTTACTCTCTTTATTATTATATTTACAGTATTTACCCTATTATTATTATTACATTTATTATTTTAAATTGTTTATTATGATTATTTTACATATATTTTACTTATTATTATTGCATTTATTTTCTCTATTATTACATTTATTATTTACTATTATTATTTATTTTTTAATTTATTATTATATTTATTATTTTACTCTTTATTATTATTATTACTATTTACATATTATTATTACTTATTATTTTAATTTTTATTATTATTATTACTATATTTTACTTTATTATTATATTTTATTATTTACTTATTATTACATTTATTATTATTATTTTACTTTATTATTATATTTATTATTTTACTCTCTTTATTATTATATTTACAGTATTTACCCTATTATTATTATTACATTTATTATTTTAAATTGTTTATTATGATTATTATTACACGTATTATTTTACTTTATTATTATTGCATTTATTATTTTACTCTATTATTACATGTATTATTCTACTTTATTATTATTATTATTATTATTATTATTATATTTTACTCTCTTTATAATTATTACATATTCAGTATTTTACATTATTATTATTATTATTATTATTATTATTATTATTATTATAAAGCTCCCCTCGGCTTAGACTCGAGTCAATATGTTTTCCCAGTTTTTGGTGGAAAAATTAGGCATCCCGGCTTATATTCAGGTCAGCTTATACTCGGGTATATACGGTAACCTGTTGGTCTGTGTAAGAGTAATAAAGGCTTGGACTTACCGACGACAACATCATTTCTGGAGAGGAAGTTCTGGCCGCGCACGCTCTCGCACGAGGAGTCCTCTTGTGACTTCGAATCAGCCGACATGTTTTTTGGAGCTGGAATATGTTCTCGTGTACCTCTTTCACGTATGTCAGAAGGAATCACGGTTGGACATCATAAATTCAAATATTCCAGCATAGGATCCTCCTCCAACCATTCCATAAAACCTCTATCGATGGTGGGATTCCAAAAAGCTCAACGGTTGTCCCACATTCGTTCAACGCAATCAATAAGTCCACACTGTCACAGCCTTCCTAACCAGGAATGGGTGGTTCGTGTGGTCACTTCCAACGTTATAATTCTAGGAAACTTTGGGAATAGTGGATACTTCAAAGTGAACAATTCAGCAGTAACTTTACTTGTTCCTCTTTGGCTCTCTTCTTTCTTCTTCTCCAAGGCAGATTACACATCTGATAAAGCAAACAGACGAAAAGGAATAAGCGGTTTTCCTGGGATTATTCATTTGTTGTGTTGAGAAAGTTCCTAGGAGCGTATGGGAGTGCACATCTATCTGCCGTATGCACATTTTCGAATGCTGACCATTTTCACTCTCTTGGCAGCCACCTCTCCACAAAGTCAACATCGACACCAAAATACAACACCACAAGAGCTCTGCGAGTACAGCATTGTTCCGAATGAAGCAGAGAGTGTTTGAGGACCAGGACATCCGTAGGGATAGCAAGGTCCTTGTTTACAAAGCTATTGTCCTCCCAACCCTGATCTATGCCTGCGAAACATGGACTGTCTACAGATGTCAACATTGACACTGAAATACAACACCACAAGAGCTCTGCGAGTACAGCATTGTTCCGAATGAAGCAGAGAGTGTTTGAGGATTGGGACATCCGTAGGGATAGCAAGGTGCTTGTTTATAAAGCTATCCTCCCAACTCTGCTATACTCCTGCGAGGCGTGGACTGTCTACAGATGTCAACATTGACACTGAAATACAACACCGCCTGAGCTCTGCAAGTGCAGCATTTTCAAATGAAGCAGAGAGTGTTTGAGGACCGGGACATCCGTAAGGGGACCAAGGGGCTTGTTTATAAAGCTATTGTCCTCCCAACCCTGATCTATGCCTGCGAAACATGGACTGTCTACAGATGTCAACACTGACACTGAAATACAACACCACAAGAGCTCTGCGAGTACAGCATTGTTCCGAATGAAGCAGAGAGTGTTTGAGGACTGGGACATCCGTAGGGGGACCAAGGTCCTTGTTTACAAAGCTATTGTCCTTCCAACCCTGCTATACGCCTGTGAAACATGGACTATCTACAGATGTCAACACTGACACTGAAATACAACACCGCCTGAGCTCTGCAAGTGCAGCATTTTTCCGAATGAAGCAGAGAGTGTTTGAGGACCGGGACATCCATAGGGATACAAGGGGCTTGTTTATAAAGCTATTGTCCTCCCAACCCTGATCTATGCCTGCGAAACATGGACTGTCTACAGATGTCAACACTGACACTGAAATACAACACCACAAGAGCTCTGCGAGTACAGCATTGTTCCGAATGAAGCAGAGAGTGTTTGAGGACTGGGACATCCGTAGGGGGACCAAGGTCCTTGTTTACAAAGCTATTGTCCTTCCAACCCTGCTATACGCCTGTGAAACATGGACTATCTACAGATGTCAACACTGACACTGAAATACAACACCGCCTGAGCTCTGCAAGTACAGCATTGTTCCAAATGAAGCAGAGAGTGTTTGAGGACCGGGACATCCGTAAGGGGACCAAGGGGCTTGTTTATAAAGCTATTGTCCTCCCAACCCTGATCTATGCCTGCGAAACATGGACTGTCTACAGATGTCAACATTGACACTGAAATACAACACCACCTGAGCTCTGCAAGTGCAGCATTCTTCTGAATGAAGCAGAGAGTGTTTGAGGACCGGGACATCCATAGGGAGACCAAGATGCTTGTTTATAAAGCTGATGTCCTCCCAACCCTGCTATATGCCTGCAGAACGTGGATTGTCTACAGACGTCAACATCGACACTGAAATACAACACCGCCTGAGCTCTGCGAGTGCAGCATTCTTCCGAATGAAGCAGAGAGTGTTTGAGGACCGGGACATCCGTAGGGAGACCAAGGGGCTTGTCTATAAAGCTATTGTCCTCCCAACCCTGCTCTATGCCTGCGAGACGTGGACTGCCTACAGACGTCACATGCAACTCCTGGAACGATTCCATCAGCGCTGCCTCCGGAAAATCCTGCAAATCTCTTGGGAAGACAAGCGGACAAACGTCAGCGTGCTGGAAGAAGAAGCCAAGACCACCAGAATTGAAGCAATGGTCCTCCACCATCAACTCCGCTGGACCGGCCACGTTGTCCGGATGCCCAACCACCGTCCCCCAAAGCAGTTGCTCTACTTCAAACTCAAGAACGGAAATCGGGATGTTGGTGGGCAGGAAAAGAGATTGAAAGATGGGCTCAAAGCCAACCTCAAAAACTCTGGCATAGACACTAAGAGAGAACTGGGAAGCCCTGGCCCTTGAGCGCTCCAGTGGGAGCTCAGCTGTGACCAGCAGTGATGCAGAATTTGAAGAGGCACGAGTAGAGGGCGAAAGAGAGAAACGTGCCAAGAGGAAGACCCCGACCGGGACCACCTTCCACCTGGAAACCGATGCCCTCACTGCAGGAGAAGATGCAGGTCAAGAAGAGGGCTCCACAGCCACCTACGGACCCACCGCCAGGACACCAACCTTGGAGGACCATCATCCTCGGACTACGAGGGATCGCCTAAGTAAGTAAGTAAGTACCATATGCACATAATAAAAGTGAAAATATTTATTTGTATTTATTTGTTTCCAGCATTTCTACCCTGTTCTTCTCAACCCCCGAAGGGCTGAGACTCAGGGCGGCTTACATTCGGCACAGTTTTATGCCATTAAACATAACAAAGCAATATAACAGCAATTAAAACAATAAATAGAACATTAATTAATCTCTATAAATAAAAATGTCATGTTCGTTTGTGGGATGAACAGAACTCAAAAACCACTGGATGAATTGACACCAAATTTGGACACAAAGCACCTAACAACCCAATGTATGTCCTTCACTCAAAAAGAATTGATTTTGTCATTTAGGAGTTGTAGTTGCTGGGATTTATAGTTCGCTTACAATCAAAGCGCATTCTGAACTCCACCAATGATGGGATTGAATCACACTTGGCACACAGTTCTCCCATGACCAACAGAAAACACTAGAAGGGTTTGGTGGGCATTAACCTTGAGTTTTGGGAGTTGTAGTTCACCCACATCCAGAGAGCACTGAGGACTCAAACCATGATGGATCTGGACTAAACTTGGCACAGATATACTCATTATGAACACTGGTGGAGTTTGGGGAAAATAGACCTTGACATTTGGGAGTTGTAGTTGCTGGGATTTATAGTTCGCCTACAATCAAAGACCATTCTGAAGTCCACCAACGATGGAATTGAACCAATGTTGGCACACACAGAACTGCCATGCCCAACATAAAATACTGGAAGGGTTTGGTGGGCATTGGCTTTGAGTTTTGGGAGTTGTAGGTCATCTACATCCAGAGAGATCTGGACCAAACTTGGCATGAATACTCAATCTGCCCATGTGTGAACACTGTTGGAGTTTGGGGAAATAGAGCTTGACATTTGGGAGTTGTAGTTGCTGAGATTTATAGTTCACCTACAATCAAAGAGCATTCTGAACCCCACCAATGATGGAATTGAACCAAACTTGGCACACAGAACTCCCACAACCAACAGAAAATACTGGAAGGGTTTGGTGGGCAGTGTCCTTTGGTTTTGGAGTTGTAGTTCACCTGCATCCAGAGATCACTGTGGACTCAAACAATGATGGATCTGGACCATACTCAATATGCCAAAATGTGAACAGCAGGCCAATGGGAGTTTGGCCTGCATCAAGAGGAGCCTAGTGTCTAGATCTAGGGAAGTCATGCTCCTCATGCTCTATTCCGCTTTGGTTAGACCACATTACCTGGAATATTGTGTCCAATTCTGGGCACCACAATTCAAGAGAGACATTGAGAAGCTGGAATGTGTCCAGAGAAATAGGGCGACTAAAATGATCAAGGGTCTGGAGAACAAACCCTATGAGGAGCGGCTTAAAGAGATGGGCATGTTTAGCCTGAAGAAGAAAAGGCTGAGAGGAGGCCTGATAGACATGTACGAGGTGGAATGAAAAGTAATGCCTCCATAACTCCTCAACAGATGGCAGTACTGGTATGTGACAGGTACTGGCTTGCTCAGTAGACTCTCCTCTACAGTTCCATTTTGGCAGGAAGCTTAGCATTGAGTGGTTGTGTTGTTAAAGTGCCAAGTATGGAACTCTGCGCAGATGGGAAGGCTGAGAGGAGACATGATAGCCATGTATAAATACGTGAGAGGAAGTCCTAGGTTGAATGAAAAGTAATGCCTCCACCTTTGTAACTCCTCAACAGATGGCAGTACTGGTATGTGACAGGTACTGGCTTGTCAGTAGACTCTCCTCTACAGTTCCATTTTGGTGGGAAGCCTTAGCATTGAATTGTTGTGTTGTTAAAGTGAAAAGTAGTGCCTCCACTTTCGTAACTCCTCAACAGATGGCAGTACTGGTATGCGGCAGGTACTGGCTTGTTCAGTAGACTCTCCTCTACAGTTCCATTTTGGTGGGAAGCCTTAGCATTGAATGGTTGTGTTGTTAAAGTGAAAAGTAATGCCTCCACCTTCGTAACTCCTCAACAGATGGCAGTACTGGTATGCGGCAGGTACTGGCTTGTTCAGTAGACTCTCCTCTACAGTTCCATTTTGGTGGGAAGCCTTAGCATTGAACGGTTGTGTTGTTAAAGTGAAAAGTAATGCCTCCACCTTTGTAACTCCTCAACAGATGGCAGTACTGGTATGCGGCAGGTACTGGCTTGTTCAGTAGACTCTCCTCTACAGTTCCATTTTGGGGGGAAGCCTTAGCATTGAACAGTTGTGTGTTAAAGTGAAAAGTAATGCCTCCACCTTCGTAACTCCTCAACAGATGGCAGTACTGGTATGCGGCAGGTACTGGCTTGTTCAGTAGACTCTCCTCTACAGTTCCATTTTGGCGGGAAGCTTAGCATTGAACGGTTGTGTTGTTAAAGTGCAAAGTATGGAACCCTGCACAGATGGGAAGGCTGAAAGGAGACATTATGATAGCCATGTATAAATACATGAGAAGAAGCCACAGGGAGGAGGAGGGAGCAAGCTTCCTTTCTGCTTCCCTGGAGACTAGGACGCAATGGGACAATGGCTTCAAACTACAAGAGAGGAGATTCCACCTGAACATGAGGAAGAACTTCCTGACTGTGAGAGCCGTTCAGCAGTGGAACTCTCTGCCCCAGAGTGTGGTGGAGGCTCCTTCTTTGGAAGCTTTGAAACAGAGGCTGGA